TAAAATAACGACAGATGAATATGATTATTACTATAGACAGATTTTGTTTAAGCTCGACTTAAGTTCATTTTTTTAGAGGGTTCAGACTTGACTTCAACAAGCCGATTCTTCTATGTTGTCCTATTTCCATATATACTAGTAAGAAAATCTATTTTGTGTGCATATAGTGAACTAAACCTTTTTCGAATTCGCGTAGTATAGAGATACAATCATTTTTGAACGTTGACGAACACTAACCTAAATTGATCACAACCTGAACATTCCTATAAATAGTAATTAATCGAAGAAAATTTTTTGTCTAACAGCATTGTACAAGTGATTCACAATGTGATATATATCCATCCTTATTTGTCGTATACCTGCACGCAAAATAAAGTGGGAAAAAACGTCATCATCTTTCAGATATGATTCCGTCACAGCACTTTTTTTCGTCTAAAAGATGAGTGTTGTATGCGTATCTAATTTTCTTTTTTCTCACTCATAGCTAGTCATCAAAGTTATATTTGATCTATGGAAACGGTGTCATTATATTTTTAGCTGACCTAAAGTTTTCATTTTTTTGAACACTAAAAGTTCCATTCCATTTTTGGTGATTCCGTCACATATCTATATTTCCACCATAAAACAGTTACAGGAAATTAAAAATCTAATGAAACTTTTACCATTTGTAGAGGTTTGGGACTTACATCTGCTGTGAATATTTCGGCGAGGATATTGAAAAAAACAAACTGAAAAAACGTGATTCCATCATGTAGAGATGCACCAGTTCCAGCTGCAATTCTAGAATTGGAACTAGAATTGATGGAATTGGTTGCCACTGACATATAACTAATATTGGTTTGAAATGACTAGAAATCATAGAAACTGATATGTTATTCGCTAAAACTGATGAAGACTATAACTCAGTCAGTACGAATCACTATAAGTTATAAGAAATCGATCTGATTCGGCCAGAATTTGGGAACATTTTTCAATAAGTACTTCAAAATTAATCAAATCTCTTACAAAACTTTCGTTAATATCATAGGAAAGTGTATAAATAGTTAAGATCAATATTCATCTGCGTTAGTAGATGTTAATATACATGTATTTTTGTTTTATTCGAAGAGATTTCTAACTTTTGATTAGCTATAGTGATTAAGAATTGATACTAGTCATCGGCTTCTCCGCAGGTAACGCACTCACGTTTTGGACACTTTTCACTACATTTTCTTCGTAATCATTTGGCACTGAGGTTCGAAAACTAGAAGGCAAATATAGCTCATAGAGTACTTCAATTTGTGTGCCACTCATAAATATAGGCTTTATCAGTAAATTGTATGATTAAAAATACTCATCGATAACGCACTCACAAAAAAGGCCCTTGTTGATTTGGTCATCAAGACAAATTCTCAAATTCCTGCGAGTGCTAGCATCAAGGACGCACCGGAGCTACTGTAGTTTACAGAGGATGGTTGAAAGTCTTTAATGAGACGTACAATTCTAGAGCTTCCTGCAAGCATCGGGATTTATAGCTCAAGTATTACAGTAACGCACTCACATAAGCACTCTTTGGCGTTCATGATTCACAGTATCAGTTAGACAAATGTCTTTTTAAGCTATGTTTGATTATGCTACGGATTTAGGCTTCCATTTTCTGTTCCAAAATTTAATGTGCTGTTGATTTTTTTATGAGCTCAAAAACGCACCTCTAATCAGAAAAACCTGGTTTTTATAGAGGTGCCTCGAATATTCTAACATTAATGTTCGAACAGAAGAAAATAAAAAGCAACAAAAACACAATAGGGATTGAGAAGAGTGTGTGATGTCTATAAAAGGTGTTTAAACCTATCACGCGCACTGTGCTGAAAAAGAAAGCGATACAAAAAGAAAGCGATACAAAAAGAACAGACGTGTCGTTTTTAACTCTGATCATCTCAATATTTCTTTATAGAAGCGTTTAGCAATTTTGTTTCTCGAACAACTTTTACTCTATTTATCGATGTCTATCCATCCTCAAAGTTTCAAAGTTCTGTGATGATTGTTCGTTCGAAAAAATTCACGAAAGGGCTTCTCCCACGATCGGTAGGTTGTGTGAGTGCGTTACCTAGTTTTTCACCAGTTTGAGGAGACAAAGGAAAAATAAGTGTTCCATTTGATAGACCATCAAAAGTTACTCTAACTATCTTAATATCCATTCAAATGCTCTTGTGGTTATAGCCGAAAACAAACTAAAAGTTTTAATTGGTAACGCACTCATTTTAGAATTTATCAAGTTTTTAGGACTGTCATTTTCTCACATACACACACTTTTACTAAACACTATATATGCTATCAGACGGTCCGAACATTGAAGGTTGCAAATATATAACATACTTAAATTTACTACTTCTATTAAGTTATTTTTCTTACATTTTTCGAACTGAAGTAAAATGACTAAATAGTTGAAAGAAGAATGTTGCTAATGTGCGGTCATTTACTTTTTGGTTTCTGACGCCTGCAGAGAGAAGGAAATACATTTTTGTATATAGAAAAATGTGCTCTACAAAATAGATCTAAGCGCTTTGCAGAGTTTTCGACTTCTACTTTAATCATCCAGGTTGATCGTTACGCGGACAAGCCGTATAGCAATATATTATTTGGGTTCGCAAGACTCGGTTAACGGGACTTGCCTTTTATTACTCATTGTAAAATATTGATATCATACTTAGAGTGCTCTGTAGCTTAAGTCTCATAGACTTTATAGAATACACATAACTTTCGGATAAAATCCGAAGTTTCCGCATTTGAGATCGTATTAACGGTGGATAATAGAATTTACATATTTGAAACTGTAAAATATACATTGTCCTTGCTTTATTTAGAGTCCTACTGATATCATATCATTGATAAATAAGATATCATATTTGAAATAAAATGATTAATATTTTCTTTTTAGATATAGTTTCACCGCGAAGGAACAGAAATAGTGAGTCATATGCTTCAAGTGAAAAAGCAAATTTTCACTTCTTATTATTCAGATTGGTTTTGGTAACCCATGAGCGGCGAGTTAGATATTCAATATGAAAAAAACTAATATTTTTTTTATTCAGGTTCATATTGACACATCATATACTAATAAGTCAGATATTTGAAATAAAAAAATGAATATTTTCCTTTTTTTTCTATTTAGATTTATATTGAGATCGTATTAGTTGTAAGTGTTATATTTTTAATAAATATATTATCTTCTTTACTTTTAGGCTTGTCTTGATAACAAGTATATCGATGGTGAGTTATATATTTAAACGGAAGAATGAACAGTTTTCTCTTTATATTGAAATAGATCCCAAAATTGTTTCAGACTGTTCAAAGGTGCGTATTCTTCACAGTAAGACAACATTTTTCAATAATTGAATTTCTGATGAGATTCGCAATCATTTGATACAACGTACCACTGATTTCATCAAAGATCATCTGAATATCGCACCTTTTGTCAAACTGAACCGTTTTGAATAGAGAATTATAAATTGTTCCATTAGGATTTTAGGAAACTTCTTGTTAACTGAATCATTTGTGATAAAGCAGAACGCACAAAAGGATTCAACTCTACCTTCAGTGTATGAATATTCTCTACAAGTCTTCTCAAGTACTCCTGAAGGGTATGAAACTCCATCAAGTGGTTCTTCAGATACCCATCTTGAGGGTATGGATTTCTATGATAAATCTTTCTCAATACCTAGAAACAGGGCATAGAATCCCAAAACGCGTTGCAAAGCAGTTTTATCCGTATTTGAAAAGGACACAGTGAATTAGTAATATAATTATGATAAGATAATATACTAGATTTTATGCTGTTATGTAGGGACCAATGATAGTTTAAGAGTTTTTCAAGATGCAACGAATAATATTCCCTTTTAGGACTGATGATGCTCTAATACTCTATCCAAAACCGTTTCTTGATGATAAAGTAACTTTTACATAATATTGGCAGAAACTCTTTGGAAGGGTTTTTGGTTTTAATATATCTTGTGAAAAATCGTTATGAAAGGTATTTGAAAGAGTTCGGGAAATGTCATGATAGTTTGAAAAGGTTTATTATTTGTTGTACTTTCATAAACCCGTTTAAGGTTTTGTATTCTAGTTTTTTTTACAGTGAATTGTATCCCCTTTATGAATTACAATCAATACAGATCATTATTATCGATACCTCAGTGTATACCAATGTAAACAGTGCAGTCAATATCAGTATGATCACTGTGTCAGTGAAGATTAATGTCATGCAGGCAGTGTGATCGATGTGATCAGTGCCAGTATAGACACTGAATTAATGAACTTCAATGCTACTATAGTCAGTGTCAGTGTAGTCATCGTAGTCGGTGCAGTCAGTGCGGTAATATCATCGTCGGTATTTCAGCGATGTGCACTAAAACTGCACATCTCTAACCAACGAAAATTGACACGTCTGGATGCCCGCTCCCCGACTATCGTCTATTGAATGTTCAAAGACCAAGATCTCTATCTTGTTTCTATAGAAAGCTATTCAAAAATCATTCGACTAGCTTATATTTTGAAACCGACATTACTACTGTACAATGTCAATGCTATGCAAATTATGATATACTGCTAGTAAAAAGCAAAACTACTCTGCACCTAACAAGACAGCAATATAATCAAATAAATAAAACATAGAAGAGTAAAGTACTTTATTCAATTTAATAAATATACTTATATATGGCATCAATCACTTTCACAACCTTCTTCATTTCCTTCACATCATGAACTCTCACAATATCGGCGTTCTGTTGTACGCAAGCCATGATCGCTGCTCCAGTACTCATAACTCTATCACGTGGGACAGGTTCATCACAAATACGACCCAAAAAATTCTTTCTTGAAGGAGCTAAAAGGCTGGCTAAACCATTGAAACTCAGGTAAAAGTGTTCAACGTCGTCGTCGCAATGTTCGTTAACCATCATCGAGTACTTTTTGAAATGTGAAGCGTGTTTGATGACAATTAAGCTCTGCGGTAAATGTTTAGCAAATCCAATACCTGGATCTAATATGACCTGCCATTTTCTTATACCCCTTTTGAAGCCCTTCAACATTTGTAATCCTAATTCTCGGGATATTCCGTTAATTAAGTTGGCGACTTGTGGATCCCAATTCTTGACATTAAATGAGGGATTTAAGGGATCAACCATGTACTCAGTTATATCTTTGTTGGTGTTGGGCTCGTAATTATTTAATTTGGACATTGTATCGGGTGTGCCTCGTGTATGATTCATTACATATGGACATCCATACTTAGCAACAATATCAAATATCTCAGGATCATGTAATCCCATAGAATTATCATTAATAATGTCAGCACCTAAGTTCAAACATTGCTCAGCAACTTTAGCCCTAAAAGTGTCAATAGAAATAAGACATGTTGACAACCTCACATTTTCGGATTCCCTGATTATTTTGACAACAGGCAAAACGCGTCTGAGTTCTTCTTCTTCACTGGGAGCAATACTGCCCGGTCTTGTCGAAACACCGCCAATATCTAATATAGTCGCACCCTCATCTAATAACCTCAAAGCAGTAGTTTCTATCTCTTTAGCACTAGCATTGTAATTGGCACCTGCATCACTAAAAGAGTCAGGAGTTACGTTCAGAATACCCATGATCAAAGCCGGGCGACTGTATTTCAATTGATCAAACTTCAAAGGATTTTTATCATGATCTAGTTCTAATCGGGGAACTGGTACAATTTGTAAAAGGTCAGATGATTCTTGCAGTGTTTCATTTGACTTGCTTGCTAACAGCTGTGCCAAATGGTGATGGAAGGATTCAGCAGTAACTGGGTGCAAAATATCAAAACGAAGTAATTCGCATAATGGTTGCAAGACAAATGATCTTTCCAACATAGACTTATGGGGAATAATCAGGTCGTTGGTGTTGTAAATAATATCATCGTACAACAAAATATCCAAGTCGATTAATCTTGGTCCATTGGTAAACTTTTTGACTCTATTGATATATACGTACTCGATTTCTTTGCACTTCTTAAACAAATCAAGTGGAGAAAGATCCTTGAACGAAACTTTAACAACCCCGTTGAAAAAATCAGCTTGATCTTTATGATACATTGGTTTGGATATGTATAACGAAGAAGTAGATACAACGTTGATTTTAGCTTTTTCCAAATGATATAACGCTTCATTGATGTTTTTGATTTGATTACCTTGATTGGAACCAAATGCGATATAAGCAATATGATTCTTCTTCCTAGTAAAAGCAGAATCCTCGCCTAAAGTTGGCGAGTTAAACTTCGTACTGTCAACAACGAAATGTTCTGTAGTTATTGGTTCCATATCCTTAAACGAGTCCTTGTCCATATCTGAACTTACACCCACACCATCTGTAAAAGCAATAGCGTTTGGTTTGATAGCCTTAACAAAAACCCTTTCAATGTTATTCTTTTGGGTAATTAATTGACCAGTTTTCATAACTAATGCCTCTACCGTCTTAAAGCTGGAAGATTCCACATATTGACTTACATCTTCAATTAACTTGTGAATAGAAACATTTGATTCAGGAAAGATCTTTATAGAAAAATCGATATCAAGATATTGTTTCTGCAATCTTTCGAACGTAAAAACACCAATAATTGTCAATAATTTTAAACCATTGACGTTTAATTCATCAAAAATACTGTCAATTCTGCCATCTCGTGTTCTATTCAATTTATATTCTACATTATCAGCTCTGATTTCAGACTTGCTGCTTCTAACGATAACTTCCACCTGATGACCACCACCTTTTTTAGGATCCAGAAGGATACGAGAGACGTTTTCGGCAATGTTACCTAACGACTTGAAATTCTTATATTCATTGTCCTTCATATACTCCAATACGTTCCGAGACAAAACAGCGTAGTTCAAGGAGTACTTGAGATTATCGGAAACAGATGCCTGATGAAAATCGGTATTAAGCTTCACCGATATTTGAATTGGTTGTGGAGTTGGCTGGTTCCATGCATCGTTGCCGATAATAGCTGTAGCAGACAAGTTGTTGATTAAGATTGTATCTTTAAACATGGATATGGATCTGCAGAACGATACGATTGTCAGAAAAAATATCGACTATACCCTGTTCATTGACGTAACGATAGTATAGAACTTAGAAATAAGCAATTTTTACCTTAATTTAAATGATTGGCAATATAGATCTTGACCGTGAGTATCTATAAAAAAAATTAAAAGATGTGCTGCATAATGAATACGCAGACCATATCTATATTACAGTTTCAATTCATGATAACGAATTGTATTAGAGATAATAAAATTACTTACTAACGAGCGAGCCGCCCGAGGTGATTAACGCCTTTAGATCCCATCTTTTGATGATAGGTAGCGCTTAATGAAGTATGAAAAACCTCAGGAGGATTTGTCTCTATGAGCCTTTTATCTACAGGTATAGATATTTTACTAAAATTTTTGCTTTTAGCTATGCATCTACCAACATATTGAATATCAGTATTTCGAGCTGCAACTTCGGTCATAGAGAGGTGTGTGTATATAGGTGTAGTAATCTGAAAATTTCAACTCTTAAAAAGGTTTCCTTCTCAACATAACCAAACTTCCAAAAATCACCCATATCTAAGGAAATATAGTAGTGTTAATCGGGTTTTCCTGGTTTGATATCTTGAGAAGGAAACCTTTTTTAGAGCTGAAATTTTCAGAGTACTACACCGATATACACACACGTCTCTATGACCGAAGTTGCAGCTCGAAATACCGATTTTCGATATGTTAATAGGTACCTAGTTATAGGGAAAATTTTTAGTAAAATNGATTTACTGGTACATTTATGGCTACAAATGGTGCCGCAAATGGGCGAGCAATCTATGAAGGGGCACGTGGAGGACAGTATTATATGACTCCAGGTGGCCATAAAAGCTATATACGCAAATGATATGCGACATTTTCTTGATTGAACTATTTACACTAAAATGCATTTCTTTTGTAATGCTATCAAAAGCGCAGAAATAAAATTTGAAATCCATAACGAACATCTCATCTCTAAAAGGTTCTTGTCTTTGCCCACAATAAAACTCAACATTTACTAAATGTTGAAACTTCTGGTGAAAGTGATCCGACTATAGTGAATACGAGGTTCAATGTTGACATACATCTATATATTATCAAGAACAAACCCATTCAGTGGTAATAACATGTTCACTCATCTGTTTCTTTCACCGAAGGATTAGCTTTTCGCTCAAACATAGCACTAGTATTTGATTTTTATTTGATACTATAGATGTTTTATTATGCTTCTGTAAGATCTGTCGTCTTTAGCTTCTTTCGTTTCTAATTCACAAAGAAATTAGCATTATAACTGCGCAGCTTTTTCAGAACAGATCAGTCAGGCCAGAGGATAGGTAATAAAACAGATTTCTACCAAGATATACACATTCTATCGCGAAACTTTGAAAGCCCTCGTCAAAAATTTTGAACAATCCGTGTTTACGTCACTTCTCAACCATAGTGAGAAAAATGAGTACCGTTTTTAGCTATCTTGAAAAAAGTGGCAAGTGAACTTTAGGGGAAGTGCGTTTCAGCTGTGCCAATGACAGAAGAAACAGTGGAGAAATTTTTCAATGGATATGGTTGATCAGAAACGAATAGAAATAACTATAGCGAGATGATCAAAGCTTATGACGCTAATCTCATCGAGTGGGCGAAGAATGAAAACGTAATTCGAATCAAGGAAACCCTTGCCTTATTCGATGTTTAAAAAAAATGTAAACTAGCATGTGCCGTGTGACGATTTCTGATACAACAGATAATATGTGTTAAGTGTATCGTTTATTCAATCCAAAGAAATCGCGCCTATGCTGTACTTTCCGCGTCCTTAAATAGTTTTCGGTTCATACAGCATCACGTTACAGAAAAATACCAAACTCTTTGAAATAATATCTACGGTGATCTATCGCTATCACTCGGTGAGGTATTAGGTCAACCGAGAAAGTCAAAACATATCCTGTATAGGTGTGAAGCACGAAGGCAAACACCCACACCCTCACACCCACATCTAAGCCCAAAAATCAACCTTCTGGTCTAAAGGTTGACATCCAAGGCCAAAGGCCAACAATCAGGTCTAAAGGCTGGCATCTAATTACCAGTAGAAAGGAAGAAAACGAACGATAGTTGTATATGCGAAGAGGAGAGGAAAGAAAAGGAGACAAGGAAGAAAGAAGAAGAGGTGTACAATCATAGATTGGCACAGTATGATCTGCTGAAAACGACGGATAAAATTCAACCACTAGATGTCTTCTTCAGCAGGCAGATGAAAGTGATTCGTCATCGGCTACACGATCACGTGCTACTCGATGGACTTGACATCAGCATGAGCGAACGGGATAACGCCATTCGTCTCATGCCTCTCGCTCACAACAAAGTCTCTGCCAAAATATTTCGTCCAATGGTCCGATACGCCTGGTATGCAAACGGTTACACAGGCAACAGCCCGAGATCCTGCAAAACAGTGGACGAGGTGTGATTTTCTTTCGATGCAGCTCCTTTTACTTGCTGCAGCTGGTGTGACAAACCACTATGTTTCAAATCACTTTTTTTCTGAAGTATCATTTTCATTGATTCACTCTTGGGTGGTCTTTTAGGGCGTGTAATAAAATCAGACGTGAAATGAAGAGTTATGGGTATTCTGCCATCCAGTTAACAGCCCATAGAGGTGCTACTGATGAGATGTGACTTAGTAATAAATCAAGAATAGACTAGACGAGCGATGCGCCAAGCTTGAAAAAAGTTTCATCTTAGCAATGTACTATTCTCTAATAACGATTATTTCGCACTTCGGCCCTGTTTTGTATGTATGTTAAGAATTAAAGATGTCAAGAAGAAAGGCGCGAGGGGACAAATCCGCTTGAGGTTTTTCATATCTCATCGGGGTCTACCTATCACCAAAAGATGGGACCTAAAAACTTTGGACACCTGGGGAACCTCCCGCGTTAGTATATTCTACCCACTGTAAAAATATGAGCCAAATCGGAGAGAGTCATGCGCAACGTTGGGTGTCGCTTATGTGCAATGCCTCTTAAGTCGCTCTGTTAAACAGCGCATAGCTCTTTGCGGCTCTTCTTCAATGAGCTGCTTTAATATGTCCATATCCATCCCATTCCCCCTCCCGATGGCCTTCGAGAACGAGGTCAATCCTAAAGATCATAGTGCTCCTTCTTAAATTGGTCGAATCAGTGTTGCGCTGCACGAATGGAGAGCACATGCTTGTCTATTATACCGCATAGGTCACTTGCTGCTGCCAATGCTTTGAGGCCCAAACGAAATTCATGAAGCAAAGGCACTCGGAACACTCTTCAAAATATCTCTATTTCTAATTCGAGATCAAAGTCCATATACATAGTTTCGTTGTTGTTCGAAGGATACTAGTATTCTCTGTATATACCCTGACTACGAAAACTTCTAGAACTTTCTCAAGTATTCTAGGAAATTCTTGAAAGAAAACGTCAAAAGTTTCTTGCCAACCTAATAGAAAGGCCTGGAAAACTGTGGAGAAATTGGAAGTTTCAGCTGGTATGGATGAGCCATTTCGAAGATATAGGTGGTACACATATGGGGAGTATGTGGCAGTTTGTGTACTTTCAAGTGCGTTATATTCCAGTGAATTTACATCTTCGAACAAAACAGACAAGGGTGGCCCGAATCGACCTACACTGGGGGGGGGGGGGGGGGGGGCTGGTGTCCGCCGCGCGCCCGCAGGAGTCGACGCGTCGTGGGAGGAGGAGGGAANCCATAGAGGTGCTACTGATGAGATGTGACTTAGTAATAAATCAAGAATAGACTAGACGAGCGATGCGCCAAGCTTGAAAAAAGTTTCATCTTAGCAATGTACTATTCTCTAATAACGATTATTTCGCACTTCGGCCCTGTTTTGTATGTATGTTAAGAATTAAAGATGTCAAGAAGAAAGGCGCGAGGGGACAAATCCGCTTGAGGTTTTTCATACCTCGTCGGGGCCTACCTATCACCAAAAGATGGGACCTAAAGACTTTGGACACCTGGGGAACCTCCCTCGTTAGAAGAAAATTGTTTTGTTTTGAGCTAAATAATCTTAACGGAAGAAACGGAGTTCGAGTGGAAAGATATTCATGCAATGTTGATTGCACTTCCAATTGATTGAATAAAGATAGAAATGATTAATAGACATTATAGGTTTCGAAATAGATACACAGGACATCAAGACAATCTTAATTGACGTAATTTCTCATGACTTTGTTATTATTGTTTGAAAAGTCAATCAAGAATGAATGATAATTAGTTTTTATTTATGTTTTGACTAAGCTCAGGCAAGATCAGTGTGGAATGAATATATAATCGAAATCATTACCACAAAAGACGAATAGACCATACTTCTTAAAAACATTACGCTACTTGGTTACTTTCTTGAACAATTATCATCAGACTTTCTACCTCTATAGCCTCATTTATCGTTTGTTCAAATTGATAAACGTCTATGTGAATACCAGAAAGATTCGAGATCCTTTTATGAAAGCATCCATGGAAACGTTTGAAACTCTCACTAATCTCAAAATCAATTGTTTCATTTTGTCATAAAAGAGACCAGTTTAAATTACATTCAAAAAAGGAGACACATCTGCCATAAACACGGAATCACACTCTAATAATAGTTTAAGTAGCTTGTTCTTACCTATACTCAAAGGAACAGATGAGAAGAGAAAGAACAAAAACTTAGTCTGCTCTATTCCATGCTTAGATTGCGAAAAAGTGTACATCGATGGGACAAGTCGTTTGAAAGAAACTCGAATGAAAGAGCATAAAGCGAATATTAGGACTTTGTCAACTAAATCTGAATTAGTAGAGCACGTTTTGACACACAAACATCAATTTGACTTGGAGAAAGCGCGTCATAGAAGAAAGTATTTTATCAAGTAGAGTTTTAGGAAAATCAATAAATAACGTAAAACATACCATTCATATCGTTGCATAGACATCGCCTATAACTAGAAATAGAAAGAAAATCAACGTTAAGAGAAATGTGCTATTACAGAAATCATTCACCCGCAGAAATTTAGTTTTTCTTCTTCTTATTTATCTTTTCTTTTTCACATTTTCAATAGTCTTGTATATATCTATACTTAAAATGCACTTACTTGACAAAATATTGTGAGAAATGTTCTGCCTTAGCATCAGGGTCGGCATTCTCCGCATAGAATCAAATAAGCCATTAACACAGTTCAGTTTCACTCATTTACATAGTATGTCCTATTTGTTTTATTTAGATTTTTTGAAAATAATCTTATGTTGTGTTATGTTGTGAGACGTGCTCCTCTTGAACATCAGAGTCGACACCCTCCACATACTCACAAGTGAGTTATTATCATATGTTTCAGTTTTATTGATTCATCAGTCCACCTACTCACATGATATATATTTAATAGAACACAGTCTCACTCACACTATCAATCTCATTAACAAATTCGAGCATAAATCAGCCTACGAAGTTTCGTTCACCTATCCATAATGATAATCTCACCAATATCAGCCTATTTCCTATTTAATTTACTCAATAGTGATAAAAAGAAGTCAGTCTAAAAAATTCATCAGTATCATTCATGTCCATACTCACTAACATCGAGTCAATCTTATCTACATTGACCTCGTTCAATAACAAAAAGCTGAGGTTCAAACATTTCATTGGTCATACTTCTATATGTAATTTCATGAACAACTCAGTCCACTCTTAAGGTCAACCTATTTGCCCTCAGTTACATATCAAACTAGAAGCTTGTCTGATTAATTTCATCTGCCAGACTTGGTATTAAACATTGCACAGATAAGTGAGCTGCATCACTTTCACCAGTCTTGCATGTTCATAATTGTCTGAAATCGAGTATCAGTCTTCACGTTAGTCCATCTTTTCATATTTACATTCTCCACAGCAATAACTCACATTATTGCATCGATTAAACCTACAGTCTCAATAACTCTTAGTTTCTTTCATGACGTCAATTTATGTTTCTTTGTCAGTTAAAAGAGTCAATGATATTGACTCAATCTCATGATACCCATCGTTCTTATGATCAGTTATGTCCTCACAAAGCAATTGAAATGATGTCCATTCCATTAACATATCTTACTGATGCCTCAACAACTCCAACGAAACAAACATTAACAGTATCAACAACTTCAACAAAACTAACATCACTAATCAGTCAATTATCACGAACAAGGGTTTGAAGATGAATTTTCATAGATATCTCCTTGGTTATTTATTTATTCATTTCGTCTTTGTTGTAATAATTCAATGTAAGTTCACTCAATAAACATTTCACGAGGTCGTTCCTGATGATGTTCTCAGTATGAGAATGAAAGCTTGAATCCTATCTTTCATTTCTGATTGAGATAAAACTTTGAGATGATATTTGCAGCAGTCCTCACTTTCTTGTTTAATTTACTTCCTACTGCTCTCCCTCCTTCTTTTAAAGCTGTAGTTTCTTGAAGACGCCAAAGATACTGTGCACGCTCAAGGAAACCATAGCGTTTTAGTCTGACTCACAACTTTCGAGTGTACAAGTGGTTACAACCAATATCATCACTCATATTTGACGTATCCTAAAAGCTAATACAGCAAAGAAGCAGGAATACATTAACGTGCAGTTTTGATCAGAGTTGCGACACAACTACGACTTACCCGTGGATCATAATTTAATACAAGATGCTGCTGAGTGACGAAACTAATCGTCAGTGCGCTATGATTGTTGTATTTCTAATTACGATATACAACCTGAATGTATTAGCAGGACACAAATAGCACATTCAGAATTTTATAAAACGTTAACTCTATTGAATAGTAGTTTACCACAAGTCGCCGGTATAAACACTTACATTTATAGACATACATATATCGTTAGTTATCCACGCACAGATAGTCAGTAATTCTAGTATTATAGAAAGATTTGTCGCTCGCAGTCTTCCCAGATTGTCACAATCTAAACCTACCTTCAACATAGTACACCTACCTGCGCGATTCTCGACACCCTTCTACTTTCCATCTTCTTCCTCACTCACACCTACGTCCTCAAAACAGATAAAAACTATAAAATATACNATCCATTGTGCCGCTTTTCGTTCATTCGATGTGAAAATTCCTGAGAATTTACATGCAAAAGTAAACTTCTGATTTCTGGTAGTAACAATAAGTGCAGTTGCTTGGTGTACAATTATAGTAATGATTGAATTCATATGAGGTGTTTCAGATAATGGAGCTGAAGAAAATTATATTAGGGAATGATGGTGAAGTTGAAAATTGATGAATTGGGCGGGCGAGATATTTTACAGTATCATGCGGAAAGAATGGCTGCTAGTAAATTTCTGTTGATAAGCAGAAATCAGAGGTAGGACTTTCGCGAAAATTGGTTTCAATTTGAGATTTGCCATGCCCTCTAAGTCTATTGAATAGTAGTTTACCACAAGTCACCGGTATAAAGACTTACATTTATAGACATACATATATCGTTAGTTATCCACGCACAGATAGTCAGTAATTCTAGTATTATAGAAAGGTTTGTCGCTCGGAGTCTTCCCAGATTCTCACAATCTAAACCTATCTTCAACATAGTACACCTACCTGCGCGATTCTCAACACCCTTCTACTTTTCATCTTCTTCCTCACTCACACCTACGTCCTCAAAACAGATAAAAACTATAAAATATATAACCTGCAGAGGGATGATGAAGTATTTGAATCCGAATTGCAACGCGGATGGTCAGGAATGGCTTTAAACCAATATTTAAATTCGAACTGTACTCGTGTCAGGAAAGGAAAAGCGAAACGGTTAGAGTTTACTCACGTGCAATTGCAACCAGAGATCCAATAACCATGGAGACTTCGCTGTGGATTGTAGCTCGGCAAATGGATACTTCACTATACAATACATACCGGTTAATCGATGAATCTCAAGCATTACTCAAAGACGAAATCTATTTCAAATACATCATTATTGTTGCATTTCTAGTCGTGACATCTCACCTAAATCTATTCTCAAAGTCACTGCTCACTCATAGCCTCTTCCTGGAGTGTGAGTCTAGTGGATAGTGCATGACACTGCTAGTCGTTAGTCCTAACACTTCTGTTTACTAGCATACACAAATGGTTGAACTTCTACTCTTATCGAGAGTTTTGGCCTTCCCATCAGCGGCCTCCCATACGTATACCTGGCCACCCTCTGTGCACTAAATATCTCAATTTNTTTTCACCAAGGACGAATTTTGTGTGTCTATTGTATTACTTTTTTTTCGTGTGTGTGCGTGTGTGTTAAAATCGAATGAAGCCTTCGTATTGTCTACCTTGGTCGAGTATCCTTCGAATACGTGTAGAGAAAAAATACAGATACGTAAGTATAGATATATCTTTGACGTCAATGCCCAATGATTGGAAAGGACACAGATCAATGATCACCTCTGTTTCTCTCCATCTATTAACTTTTGTATATGATAAAATATTTGGTGAAAAAGAAGTGGAGAAACGAAAGAACTGCTAAATAACGACTTAGTTTTATGGCCTTTTCATCCACAAAATAAAATAATATCTGCTAATTACAAGTCTATATGCTGATCTCATTTCAGAGCTATGTGTTTTGAGTAGGCATGTACCGAATCCGAATCCGGAACCGGAGATTCGGTGTCAAATCCAGTTGGATTCGAAAACATTTGAATTCGATAACCTCAAGCTAAGCAAAGGTTTGAGATTTGAGATCCAAAAGATTCGATATAAAACTGCCATGTTAACAATTCGATTTCAATGACTTCTACTAGAACAGTAGATCTATTTATTTTAACGAAGAAATGTTACACAACGTTCGACTTAATAAGAGTTAAGATTAAAAGAAGAAAGACGTCTATTCGAGTTTGTTCTTGAGAAAGACTGTAGCAGCAAGATTACCTGGCGTTAAACGACATCGTTCTTTACGACCGATAAAACTTGAGGTTGAAAACGCGACTTCAGCAGGAACGCTGGTGCCAGGTGTAGCTAGAAAGCGACGTGACAAAGACGGCAAGATGGGTAATTCACGGGCATATGTCGACCAAAATTGTAAAACTGTAGAATCAGCATGCTTCAATTCCATGAATTTTGCAGCTAGAAGGCGATAACGTCGAAATTCTTCAACAAGTGTCGCTCGTTTGCCCTTCATGTTCGTCGATCCATGTCCAGCCGACTGTAAAAAAAGCATTAATCGGTGTGCGTTTCGACGTTGTCTCGCATTCAGTGGTCGACTGTGTACTTGTTGATATCGAATCGAAACTTTTGTCAGGATTTGCGCTCGACAATTTTTTTAGTTCTCTTTCAACCATGGTTCTTTCGCGATCCGGTATTACAGCGAATCCCATGGAATCGAAATATCCATAAATGGTTCATTTCCAAAGTAAGATATTCCTAAGTTTTCTAAATAGAACTCTTTCAAACTATACGTTCGATCCAACTACAGTCGATTATCCATTAATACAAATTGATGAAGGTGAAGATGATCATGAAGAACAACATATTCAAATTCAAGCAAAACTAGCTGGATAACAGGACAAAAATTTATCAAGTCAGAAGAACAAACAGTCAAAATTAACTCATTTTGGAAGAAGTAATCGAGCTAAGCTTATTCATTTATTTAAAATTTCTTTCTTTTGCTTTTTTTCTGTGTTAATGATAGCTAAACAAGCATTTTTTCTTACCTATATTATAATGACATGATTTTGTACAATTAGTTGAACTTATTCTAAGAAAGGAGTCAAGATAATTGAAATAAAAGCTTTCTTATTTTTTTTAAATTTTACGCAAAAGTCATATTAGAAGTCCCTCCCATAAGAGAAGCCCCCTGGGGCTTCTAATACGGGGAGGGGTTTAAGAATCCCTTGTATCATTCATTCCTCTTACAGATATACATAGAAACTATGACAAAAATACAGCGCATCTACATCCACTTCCGAATACAACCTACGAACGAGAATCCTTTCAACGCAGAACCATTCCACAAAGTATTTCACGCTTCATCTGCATGTTCTAGCACACGGGATCACAATGAGCAGGTAGAAATCGTATGCCACCACACGATCCATATGTACGGATACAAAGAATAGTGCAAACAATTTAGGTCCAATAGAAGCAATGACACCAACCAGAGATGTTCGACATCGTTTCAAATGAGCAGATGTGCTGGTGGATGCTATTGGAATCATCTAAACGATCGAATTTCGCTTTTTCATGTCAGCTGTGTAACGTATGTTTCATCATGTAGCCTAAAGAGAGAGAAGACTTTTTCGCGAACGATTTTTGCTTGTTTCGGTTCAATCGGCTGAACAATATGGAATAGAGCAGTCAGATATTGTTCGGAATCAGTAGTTATGAGAGTAGTTGGAGAACATTTTGGGAAAATGATGGTTTTTGTGTTCTCGCTTAAATGTTGTGTATGCTATGTATGTGTTTGTGCATTATTTTTTGGATTTGTTCTACGAAGGTTTTCTGTGGTCATTTCTTTCAAGTATGTTGTGTTGTTGGAGTCTGTTGTTTGACATTTTAGTCCTTACTGCCACTGTTTTAGTATATGTTATGCGAGGCTCCCACGATGTTTCAAGTTTGGGCATTGTTGACGTAGACGAAAAGAGAAGAGCTGGTTTATTAAAAAAGCTTTCAGCGCAATCCCTAACGGGATTAAAAATGTGAAACACGATCCAACTGGAGAAACTTGCAACACATAAAATGGTCAGTTTATTTCCCAGTGTGCATTCCTATTTATTTAAAATTAAGCTGCTGAAAATAACATATCACTCTCAATAGTGATGTCCGCTGCTTTTTAAACGATCTTCGTTTCATCGGTCACAATATCTGATGCTTCTTATTGTGCTTCCATTAACCGATCACGATATGTGCTGAGATCTACGTGGGTCGACATAACGAAGTTGAGAGTCACTCTGCATGTGAGACAATGATATAGAGTTTATTTGCCTTTTCACATAACAACCTTTCTCTCTCTCTTCATTTTTTAGGTGCACCTTTTACAGAAAACAGTGAATAACAGTCAAGGCCAGTCGGTAACGGTTTGTCACAGGGCTTTTAGGCTTGTTTATAACGGTATTTGACTGGTTTTTGGGCCTGTCTGTAACGTCTGTCGGGGGAGGGGGAGGGTGAGAGAGGGTGGGTCCAAATTTCTGCCCCTACACACTTCAACACTCTCTTTCAGATCGTGTTTCACAAAATAAGATATCGGTATGTATTGAATCTTCTTATAGTAGCTACTTATGTAATTTTATAGAGTACCTCTATATCTAAAGAAAATGCCAGCAAGACTTTTACATTTGATAAGTAAAAGATTGAATTATTCTATCAGAAAGAATGACATAAAAACATATGTTCGAAAGCGATTGGAACTATTCGATAAAATTTATTGTTTTGAAAGTAATGTAGATTTATGGAAACCATATTTAAACATTGGGCTTGAACAACATCAATAGCTAGTAAGTGGTTTTATAATGAAATTACTTATTATATGATTCTCTCTCATGTACGAAAAGGAACGATTATATGTAATGACACAAACAACTGATTATAACATATTTCAACAATATCTTATCAAATATATCGAAGACGTTCATCAACTAATAGATCACAAGACGACCTGGATGATTATTTACTGGAAATGCCAGTTCGCACATTTGAATAGTCTAAAAAGACACGCATGACAGATTTTTTAGATTTTCTTGATAAAAGAAAAATATCCTCATCAGCAAATAAACGATTGAATACACGAAGCTATTTCGGAGAAGAGCTCAGTGCGTATCGCTCATTGACTCGGAAGCAGTATAATGACATTCTCCCTGGCCATAAAGACGAAGATGCTGTATGTGTAGCACCGAGTAAATCTGTTTTTCTATGTAATGTATTTTCTTTTTATCGTTTAGTTGAGCTTCTGACACGCGCATCAAGTTAATCTGAAGGTATTATCCAGAATGGCAGCTCGCTTTCTTGCCACACCTGCAAGTTCTGTGCCGTCGGAAAGCGCATTTAGCAAAGCATCATACCTACTTCGAAAGCAGCGATCGCGACTTGATCCATCGAATCTGTCATATTCCGTTTTTCTCAAAGACAAAGTGTTTGAAAACTGATGAACCAGCTCTTGAACAAATAGAGTCCAGACGGATAGATTCTCAAGAATCATTTTAACATTCTTTTACTGAAGCAGTTTTAGAGAAAACATGTGAAAATTTTTTAAATTATTTGTTTTATTTCGAATCCCCAAATACTATTTGAAATAAATTCAAAAATGATAACTAACAAGTCTAAGCGAACTTTGAAGCGGAGACCAAGCACCGATTGTAAAAGAACAAACCATCTGTCTGTATCTGCCGCGCACTAAAAATAGATGCAAAAATATTCTAACTAGGTTTGTGACAGCTCATGCTCAACAGATCATTTGAACTGATCAACCAGTTCCGTTCACATTTCTAAGGCAGCGAATTATATGGGCATTGAACCAGTTTTCAACAACTGATGAACGTGTCTGGTTGCGATCTTGAGTTAACCAAATAATCATAGTGGTGAAATTAAGTCAAACCTGGTACGCGTAACATCAACATTCGAAAAGCATCTGAAAAAACGAACAACATCCAGTTGATGCATGCCAACAGGAATGTTCTTTTAGTTTACGTTTCATAACTTAAATGATAGTTATAAGGACGACAACTTTTAAAGTACATGAAAGATATTTTCGTAAGTCAACACTTCAGTATCAATACCAATATTTTCAATATCAACACTGGCAATATCCCAAGATCTATCAATACCGTCAATACCAAAACTCAAGAGTATTGGTATTGGTACATGCCTATGAACATCTCGAATTGTGAAAATCTTGTTACTGAACGATTAGAAGAGATCAAGGACAAAGTCGAGCAATACAACAAGCAACTGGACGACAAACGAAGACAATTAATTGGATTTACATCAGCCATTGAAGATACAATCATACAGTATGTGCAACGTTATGGCATTATTCCGCTTCAAATGAAAACTGATCTCAAAATAGCCTTGCTCGGGCATGATTACAATGCTACCATACTTCAAAGGAAATATGAACGGGAAAATCCAAATGAATATCAAGTAAATCCTAGAAATGCGGTTACTTCTTCTAGTGTTCACATCAACATACTCTACTCGTTTAGGTTCAAGTAGCGCAACGGCTATGTACAGCGAGACATAAACTGGAACAATCGAAACGTGAATTAATCGAGTTAAAACAGCGAGTATTCTACTACAAATTTCCTTCTGGACTCGAAGATACTGGCGCATCGCCATTGTTATTGACCGACTCGACAACAGCTTACAGTACTGCCCATCATAAACTCTTACTCGAAGATAAACATGAGAAAATATATCAACGAGAGAAACTTGATTCTCTCGTACCACATGTAATTCGAGCAGAAACCAGGTATCATCAAGCAGACGACAAATTCAACATCGAATACACTACCATGCTAAATAATCATCGCAATCTTGTACGAAACAAAGGAATGACAACGGCGTTAAGTAGTTTGTTGGAACAACGTCTGAGCAATATTACCGATCGATTACGAGATATTCACTATTATCGAATCAATTTCCTGCTTCGCAGTTCTTATGGTGATCTAGAAAACATGTACAAACAAACAGAACCTAACCATCAAGTGAACAGCAATACATTTCTGTCGAACGTGATTAGTGATACAATGCATGGCTTGAATATGAAGCAAATACAACTACTCAGTAGAGGACCATGCTACGTGCCACCGTGCCAGTCACGACTTCTCTCATCATCTTCCAATCTAACAAGCACGTCAGTTGCAGACATCGTCAAGAAACAGTATGCACCATTGAAACATCAAATAGCTGGTCTTCTTTCAAAACATCGTATCAATATTGTTTCGTCATGGGATATCCATTCAAATCTACACCAAAAATTTACTGATCGTGTTGCCATTTCAATTCCACACCATGTTCAGCAACGCACCATGTACGAGATGAAATTAGTTCAATCGATACACTATAACCGTAAAGTCAACAACCTTATTCTGCAACGAACAGCCGACAATCGGAATACTTTCTATATTGGCAATCGAAAAGAATTCGACACGAAAGCAAACAAACACATGGCAAAATCAGACGATATCTAC